CGAGTGATCAGGGGGGGCAGGAGGTGACAACTCGCCGCAGATGGATGGGGAGAGAAGGGAATATCTTCTGTCTGGGCTGCGAAGGGTGGAGAGGTGACCTGCTCACATTAATCCTCTGATAGGAGGAGGGGGAATGGCTTCTAACTGGAAGAGGGGAGATTGAGATGAGATCTGAGGAAGAAATTGTTGCCTGTGGGGGTGGTGATCCCCTGGGGCAGGTTGCCCCGAGAAGCTGTGGCTGCCCCATCCCTGGAGGTGTTCAAGGCCAGGTTGGACGAGGCTTGGAGCAACCTGGGCTGGGGGGAGGTGTCCCTGCCCAGGGCAGGGGGTGGGACTGGATGAGCTTTAAGGTCCCTTCCAACCCGAACCATTCTGTGATGATGGCCATCCCCACACGGATGGCTCCCCTGCTCCCTCTGGTCAGGGAACGCTCCACGGCACTGTGTCAGCAACTGACAAATATTGGGATTATATACTGGTGGGATTATAAAGTCAAAAATTGATCAGTTCTCTGTCCCTAAAATCATCAAGGGGCTCAGAGGGAGAGTACAATCCCTGCAGTAACCTTATAGAAGATATTTGGTCCATGAAGTATGTCTGACAGAAGGTAAGAAACCAGCCCTGCCGTGGAAGAGGATGAGCTCCAAGGATGGAGCAACAGCACCATCCTTGTTCCAGGAAGAACAGAGATGGGGAGAGTTGCAGAGAAGATGTCTAGGACGAAATAGAGACCTGTGGCTAACAAGCAGATGCTACAAACACCAGACCTGATCAGTACAGGCAAAAAGTAAGGTAGGGGAAACCTTTGTCTCAGTACATCAAGAGGAGATGAGACCCACAGGCAGAAGAAAGCTTGTTCAGCTGAAAGAAAACATGGCTGTTAACTTCTCTGGGAGTTTTTCTGCCCACAAGAACAGAGCGAGGTTGTGGGACAAGGTCCCCAAACAAACACCAGAAGCAAAACACGACCCAGCTCAGTGCTCCGGCAAAAGGGAGCAGCTTCCCCAGACCCAGCGCATCCCTTCCAGGGCTGCGCCCCACCAGGAACGACCTCTCAACTACCCTACCCTGCTTCCCAAGAGCCTTTTACTCTGACCAACGAACGAAACGACAGCAGAAGAGCCATCACCACCCTGCAGCAAGGATCACGAGCGGCTTGCGGCGCAGCTCCCAACGTATAGGCAGGCTCGGCTTAGTCCCGGACCAGGAACGCAGGTTGCTGCGTGAGTCATGCGAAAGGAGGGGGGGAATTTCCTGTTGACACCGTATGTTATACATAGATTAGGTCAAACTGGCCCAACGCCACGAGGAAGCAGCGGAAACGGGATAACCGGGAGGGAGCTGAAAGGAGCAGGGACCAAAAAGAGAAACCGTTTGCGGGGTATGAAGTATATCCTAACATCACCAGGATGGAAACAATGGGAACCAGGATGGAAACGATGGGAACCAGGATGGAAAAGTCAGTAACAAATTAGACAGAAGACAGGGCCGGTCAAAGAGTTTCCTAAAAGCAAAAGCAAGTGGATCATCTCCTCAGTGGCAGCGGGGGAAATCCATCGCTGTTTAAACTAACCTAAGCACCAGGGAATGCCATCCTGCTCTGGGAACAGATGTGCTGCGTGAATATTTTTCCACTGGAAAACTGTAATTTGTTTCCTGTCCGGTCAACATTTTTCCCTTCTCTTACGTGGACCATAAACAAAGAAAAGTCCCCGTGAGAAGCTCAACTCTCAGGCTGTTTTATCAGCTTGCACACAGCCTATGGCCAGATTTGTGCAAGAGCTCATCGCTCTCCAGATATCGTTAACAAAACCAAAAACTTCCTGTTGCAGCTGTGCTTGGCGAGGAATGACTGGCAGGGCAGGCAGGCTTTCAACAGCTTTGGTGCCTCCTTTACCAGGGAATATCAACTTCGACCCAATTTCTCCCAGGACGGCTCCACGGGGTCCAGGAAGATGCTCAGGGAGCGGGGAGCATCGCTTACACCCAACTTGCTGTCGGGAGACGGGAAGCAGCACGGAAGATGAGAGTTTGGAGAAACCGGTGCCTACTCAGAAGCTGTCACCAGGTTTATTTTCCTTTTCCATTAGACGTTGCTGGTCAGAAAGCATAAAAACGAGGAGATGGATGACCTACCGGACAACCCAACAGCGGAGAAAGAAGGTATTCGGTCGTCGGGCTGCGGACTGCCTGGCTTGCTTCACTGCCGCTAACCGTGCCGC